TAACAATATTAAGTAATAACTCTTCTCAAAGAAAGTGAGAGGCTGAGAACTGATAGTGGGGTTTGAAACCTCATCTCACCTCGACCTAATAATCAATTTATGTGCCAAGCAAGCCATCACTCAATTGGCAGGAATAAGAATTAAATCTTTACAGATGGTCATCTACACATTTGACGGGAGGGGATATAGATGGATCTGCTTGGGAACTGTCCTGTACTATACCCTAAGAAAATTATAAAATGCCTGAAGAGCCCAGATCTCCTGCAAATAAATGCTGCACACATAGAATCCAACCGCACATTGGCAATATCCAACTGTCCTGTATTATGTCCTATTTTCTTGGTCGCATAAAAGGGAAAACAAAATGTTCCATTTTCCCTATGGTTAAAGACAATGTCAAAAGCCAACTGTGTTAATGGCCCATTTGGCATGTCCATTGCTTTGTTGCAGCAGAGACCCGGGATCTATTCCGATTTCCTGTTCCCACCAAGGTTGGGGCGTTTAAGGGGGATGGGGATGGGCTACCCCCATTGTGTAACCCACCAACAAATTGCAGGGAATAAAAAAAATGCACTACTTTATTCTCTTTTCTTTTTCCTTTTATTGCATGACAGCATGATGGGTTAATCCCCTTTTTTCCACCGAATATCTATGTGGCAAGTATCTAGTACACACAATGTTTTAAAAATCGACCTAGAGGCCAAATTATTTTTTCCTTCAGGTTACAGGTCACCAATTTGACCATGTAGGTTGAATGGGTCAGACCGTCTCTCACACACATACATATATATATATATAGTGATAGGATTGAATGGGTCAACAGTTGAACGAGTCAGATCAGACGGTCCTTGACCAAGTCAATTGTTTTTTTACATTCTGATGGCAAACAAAATCTCTGCACACATTTGAAAGCATAAGACCCTAACTATATGTCTCTACAATGTCCTCTACTAGTGCTCAAATTGCAACCAGTGCTAGAAAAGGTGATCTCCCCTTATCAATCTGGCTTTCGAAAAAACAGACAGATAATAGACAACATCATACTAACCAAGGAGATATTGCATCAAATGAAAAATCTGAAAAAAAGGAAAGGGTCTCAACGCCCTAAAATTAAATATGTCCAAAGCTTTTGATAGAATGGGCTGGTTTTTTCTCAAAGAAACACTCAACAAAATGGGTTTTCCACCAAAATGGATTCAAATGATTTATCAATGTATCTCTACCCCAACATTCTCAATGAAACTAAATGGCTGATGTTATGGCCATTTCAAACTAAGACGGAGCCTCTGACAGGGAGACCCTCTTTCCCCATATCTATTTATCATGGGTATGGAGATACTAATACAATTGCTAACATGTGCTGGAAGAGAAGGTCTCATTGAAGGAGCCAAGATTTGTAGGAATGGCATGTCTGTTACTCATTTGTTATTTGCAGATGATTGCATTATTTTCTGCAAAACGGATGTGTCACAGGTTAAAGTTCTATGCCAAATCTTATCCATTTTTGAGCAACTTTCGGGACAAAAGGTAAACTATGAGAAATCCTCTATCATGTTTAGACAGCAATGTCCCAAGATACCACAGAAAATTTATCTCCCATATTCTCAAGGTCAGAAAGCTTCTACAAGGCACAAAGTACCTAGGTACCAGACTAAGAGTTCAAGACAAAAGGATATCAACATATCAGCCCCTAGTGGATCAGGTGCTATCAAAAATCACATCTTGGAACTCTAGATTCCTATCCCAAGTAGGGCACACCACTTTGATCCAATCAATTCTACAAGTCATGCCAACTTACTCCATGCAGACAACAATTCTCCCCAAATGAACAATTTCCAAACTAAACAAATTGATGAGGGATTTCTGGTGGCACGCGGGTGACAGCAAGTCCAAACACACAATACAATGGAGAATAGCAAATCAACCGAAACAAAATGGTGGTTTGGGTTTCAGAAAAAAGCCAAGACATGAATAAGGCAGTTTTTGGAAAACAAGTATGGAGAATGATATCTTCTCCAAACACTCTATGGAGCCGAATCATCAAACAAGTGTACTTTCCAACTCAAAGCCCATTTCAGGCCAAAACCACCAGCACTTCATCTTTATGGTGGTGTTCCACACAAAAAATACTTAAAGAATTGAAGCCAAACATAATATGGCAAGTCAGTTCGGGTAGGAACATTGTAGCTTTTACGGATCCATGGGTTCTAACAATCACGGGGTGTATCCCACATCCCATAGATACAAACATTGAGCCTCATGGTAACCATCATGTTTCATCTTTTCTGAAACCAGATCAAAGCTGGAATCATCAGATGCTGACCCAAATTTTTTATGAACAAACATGCTCCCATATCCTCCAAATCACACTAGACCCATAGTCGAGCCAAGATAATATTTTGTGGAAACGCAACAACTCTGGAATATACACAGTGAAATCAGCATACAAGGTTTTTGAAAACCAGAAACCATTGCCTTTCCAAACACATTTTCCATGGAATGATCTATGGAAACTGAACATTCCCTATAGGCGTTCATTTTTCATCTCGAAAGTGGTGTGGAATGGTCTTCTAACCTGGATTAAATGCACAAAGAAACAGACTGCCCTTTCTGTAAAAGTCAAAAGGAAACAACCTCACATCTCATGCCCTTTTACAAGAGCAGTTTGGTGTGAAGCACATGTAGGGTTGAACCCGAATGACATCAAAGAGGAAGAKGAAGTTTATATCTCCATCACAAGGTGATGGGAAAAACTGAAAAAGAACTCACCATCGCAGGAGTCTATACAGTTGATAGGGAAGGGTTTTATCTTATTATAAGTCATATGAAGAGCTAGAAATGATCTTATTTATGATCACAATAAAACAAATCCAAGGAATATCATATATCGAGCATGGAAATACCAATGTTTTCAAGACAAATGTTTTGAAAATATTAGCACCACCTTTCCTATAGATGTGAGAAGGAACACCCTCACCACACTCTATACTGATGGATCATATGGCTCACTCTCAGGTCTTGCAGGACGAGCTTTCATCATCCAATGCACAGATAGAGGTACGGTCTTTGCTGAAGGAGAACCATGTTGGGCCATTGATAGCTATGATACGGAACTCTGGGCACTAATCCAAGGGCTCAAAACAGTAAGCCAACTTCAAATATCTAGGATCATGACATAGAGTGACTCATCCCAGCTAATAGATTTTTTGCAAGATAGAAATCAACCAGGGAGATGGATAGACTGATTACATCGGGCACAACTATCAAGACTTTTATCTACTTTTGATCAACTACAGTTTGTACATATAAATAGAAACTATAACAAGGCCGCTCATACACTAGCTTATATAGCACGTAAAGGCTAGATGAAAATATCTTATAACTCATGCTTATACTCATCTGTACAATTTGGTTTACCTTAATGAAAAGGCTGACTGTTCTTCTTTTGCAAAAAAAAAAAAAAACCTTAAGTATACATTCGAAACATATATATGCCTATATGAATTCAATATACATGTAGAGGAGATATTCCCAACTTATCACCGGATGCTACCGAGCATAATTCTTGCTTGAAAATCCGGGATCATTTAGAGAGGGCGCTAGTGTGCATTTGAATACTAGCCATGCCATGAAAGCAAAATTTTTAAGGAGCAAACACATATTCGATATGCTTTGTTGAATGGCTGGTGCTTATGGTTGTGGAGTATTTCCACTTTGAAGTAAGATTGGGTTATTTCTTTGTTGCAGGCAAATGGAGACAAAATTAAGAATAATCCAATTCACCAAGCTGAACTTGTCAGAATTATTTCCTTGGAAAATGAAAATAATAAAATGTTTTCCAGATTTTGAGAGTTCTCAAATACATCACACCAACACCTTCTGCATTTGCTTCCCACTTAACAGAATAAATTAAAAAAGCAGCAGGCACAAATGATGAGGCAGCCAAGGGCATTGGCGAGGCTCCATGCATTATTTTGTAGTAAAAGCCCCCATTCCGTCCTAGCGCTAGCGCTGGTGGATTCACGCATCATTACAGTAATCAAAAGACAGTCTCATTCTCTCCGCACTCTCCATCTCCAGTACATCTTTCCCTCCAAAACCAAATCATCATTCACACTAGAAAATCTGTCTCCACATGCATACCCCCCCCCCCCTATTTCTCATTGATTTTTGGCTTTCAGAACAGTAATAGAACCGACAACTACCATAATAATACTTTTTTTGGGGGGAATTTAATAAACCATTATTCATTGTTGGTGAGGGTTTCCTCGGGAGGTTGATTCGAACCAGGGTGTGAAGTGTGAACCTAATCCTTGGGGCCGATGGGGCGATCGATGTTGTCTGTGTGCTTTGGCATCAAAGTATAAGACACAAAATCGCCTTAGGAAAATGTTGTATCTAAGCTTAGGGTGTTGAATAATGTAATATATAATACTAAAGTTTCATAAAAGCTTGTTTTTGGGGCCCTTTGCTCATCACTCTTGGAATATTTCATGTTTCTCACACAGACCCACTTCCCACTTTTTGTCTGGAAACAGGTGTTGACTGCATGCAAAGCCCTCTCAAAAGCAAAGAGAGATTTGAATTTGAGTTTGAGTTAATTTTAAAGTATTTCAATTATATTTTTCCTTCGCCAAATCGCCATTATATTCTAGAGCAGTACTGTCGGCAAACGAAGTCATTTACATTAGTATTTTCAACCGTCTGATCTGCTTAGAATGGGTTTTGGTGAAAGATACTAAGATGAGCTCCACTGACAGTATTTTGGTTTGGTCTGGTTGTTATTAACGGAGTTGAAATAATCAAATAAACTTGGGGCATTCTACGAAAATTCGATTAAGAGCAAGGCATACGGTTAAATGCCGATGCAGTCTTACTGTATCATTGCCTCTATCCGTTCTTTCTTTTTACCCATTTATAGTAGGAACCATTTGAGCAACAAAACTCTATTTTTTCTTCATTTAGCACTTACTTAAGCCTTGTAAAACTCATTTCTCTAACCAAATCGTCTTGTGGATGTAAGCTGAAAACAATAGTTTTTCCCCCAGTTTTAATTAGATCCTTGAGTTGCAGATTCGTACAGAAGCTCGTACTGTTGTGAAGTGACTGGATGGGCAGTTGTCCTCGCCTTCCAATCTAATCCAAGGCACTCAGATTAATGAGAGAGAGAGTAGTCTTGGCTATGTGGGGAGAAGGTAATCTTTGGTAAATAGTTGAAGGGTTTTTTGGGTGATGAGGAGACCATTGAATGTGTTACAGCATGTGATGAGGAGACCATTGAATGTGTTACAGCATGTTATGGTCTTTAATTGCAACTGGGTTTTTAGAGGGGTTTAAGAGTGTTAAGTAAGAAAAAGGCACAGAGAAGAAGATGAGAAAGCAAAAAACATGGTCTTTCTCAACTACACAGATCCCTATGGAATGCAGGAGCGCTACACACCATCGCTTGCTGGAACTCATTCTTTTTGTTTAAGTTTAAACTTTAAAGGGACTTGTTTTGTTCTCTTCAGCTAGCGAGCGAGCGTGAGAGAGAGAGAGAGAGAGAGAGAGGAGCGCATAGATTCAAGAGTTGTTTGCATGGACCCGATGGATGATACATTTCTTCCATGAGTTCTGCAGCTAGAAAACAAAAGGCCCAGTTTTCATATGGAGGGAAGCAAGAGATTTCGGAATGATTAGTTTATTTGCCTGCCAATGATTGGGTTTCCTTGCTGCAAGAGGTCCTGTTAAGAATCTGAGAGAAAAAAGAAGAGAAAGAGAGAGACAAGGAGATGAAGTCCATGAATAATAATAACAGCAACAACAATAACTGGTTGGGTTTCTCTCTCTCACCCCACATGAACATGGAGGTTGCTTCAGATCCTCATCATCATCAACAACAACATAATAATCAGACACAGGCTTCCTCTGCAGTTGTTTCTACTGCAGTTCCGACAAGCTTCTTTCTCTCTCCTCATTTAAACAACTCAGGCATCTGTTATGGGGTTGAAGGAGAAAATGGTGCACTCTACTCTCATTTGTCTGTAATGCCACTGAAGTCTGATGGGTCTCTATGCATCATGGAAGCTCTCAGCAGATCACAACCAGAAGGTCTGCTTCCGACTCTCCTATTTTTTAGTTTTGGGTTATACTCTTACCTTCGAAGCATTGTTTCTAAAACATAATTTCTTTTGTGTTTGAAGCGATGGTGCCAACTTCATCCCCAAAGCTAGAGGACTTCTTAGGTGGTGCAACCATGGCAACCCATCAATATGGAAGTAATAACAGGGAAACCATGCCTCTCAGCTTAGATAGCATGTATTACCAGCAAAACGCAGAGTCTGAGAGCAACAGACAACATTCTTTTCACTTTCTTCAACAACCTTTTAGACAGCAACAACAGCAGATTGAAGTTCAACAAAACCCATATTTCTGTGGGCTAACCGGCCACGAGATGTACCAGGCGGCAATGGAGGAGCCCAAGGAAACCCAGCTAGCAGAATGCAGTCTCCAGCTCCCTCCTATGGCAGAGGATGGGATCCCGGGCCTAAAGAGCTGGGTTGCTAGGCACTATTCCGCGAACCATGCATTGGAGCAGAAGATGACTGATAGCATGGATGATGATGGAGGGTCTGGGTCTATTGGTGCGGTGGGCTATGGGGATTTACAGTCTTTGAGTTTGTCCATGAGCCCCGGTTCACAATCTAGCTGTGTTACAGCTCCACAGCAGATCTCACCAACTGGTACTGAGTGTGTGGGCATGGAAACAAAGAAGAGAGGATCTGCAAAGGTGGGTCAGAAGCAACCTGTTCATAGGAAGTCCATTGACACATTTGGGCAGAGAACGTCGCAGTATAGAGGTGTTACAAGGTGAGTTCAAGCTTGTTTCTTCTTTCCCCTTACTTTCTTCTTTGATTTGATTTTCTTATTCTGTTGATAGTGTTTATGTACTGGTTTGTTTTATTTCATCTGTGCTTTCTATTTCTTTCGAGTCATTTGTTGTTTCTTTGCTCTCTCTCTCTCTCTCTCTTTCCGGCTCTCCCCGTCTCCTTTGTTTTATCACCTAAGTACTGAACTTATTTATCTTTTCGTCCTTTTCCTTTTGTTTTCCTCTATTTTACCCCCTTGTTTTCTTTATGGATTTTCTGATCAGCATGTTACATAATATGATTTGTCTTCATCAGGCATAGATGGACCGGTAGGTATGAAGCCCATCTATGGGATAATAGTTGCAAGAAGGAAGGGCAGACCAGGAAAGGAAGGCAAGGTTAGTCAGAAAGAAAAAGGAATCGTCCCATTTTCAGCTTCTCTTGGAATTATTCGTTTCCATTGCCTTCGCAAATTTTTTTTAGTGTTGTTGTGTTCTTGGCCTGACTACGACTATGAATTCTGATTTGTCATGTTCTTGCTTCTTCGGGGATGACATTCCTATCAAATAATGCTCTTCAGTTTATCTGGGTAAGCTTGTCTGAGTTCTAATGAAGTTTCAATCGTCGAGAATCCTAATTGTTATCTTCCTTAGCCCTTCCTAATTCTGGAATCTGGCTCACAGGTGGTTATGACATGGAGGAGAAAGCGGCAAGGGCTTATGACCTGGCGGCGCTCAAGTATTGGGGACCTTCCACTCATATCAACTTCCCTGTATGATGATTCCATTCCCACTGTTTTTATGAATTTTTTAGTCTATTGATAATATGATATCGGTTACTGAAATGCAAGGTCCTTGATTTTTTTTCTTCTGCAGTTGGAAAATTACCGGGAAGAACTTGAGGAAATGAAAAACATGAGCAGGCAAGAATATGTTGCTCACTTGAGAAGGTCGTTCTTCCCTCCCTCTCTTCATTTTACTCTGGTGCCTGCATTTTCTCTTTTAATTTGTAAACGCCCATCCTTTCTTCTTGATGCTGCAGGAAAAGCAGTGGATTCTCTAGGGGAGCATCAATGTACCGTGGAGTAACAAGGTTTTGATGGTTTCCTAGTGCATCAATAATCATTTTTCTTGAAAAGAGAGTCTTTCTTCTGAGAAACCTGTTTCTGCTTTCTGTATTTGCATTTGCAGGCATCATCAACACGGAAGATGGCAAGCTCGGATTGGGAGGGTAGCAGGAAACAAAGATCTTTATCTTGGAACCTTCAGTAAGTTTGTAGTCCAAACTCCTGAGACTGAATTCTTTGTTGGGGTTGCTCACATTGTTCTTGATGTCCAAACAAAGGTTCTTGGCGCGCTTTAAGAACTTAAAAATCCCATCTTACAGGCAATTCTGACCTCTGATAGGACTGTCTTTTCAGTCAGTGGTGTTTCTTTTATAAGGCTGATCATCAGTCATTTCTAGTACAAGGCTGATTTTCGGCAACACTGAGCTTTCTATAAGGCTGCTTTTCAGATCAGATAAAATAGAGCAGGAATCAATGCATTAGAGCTTGATTTTAGGACAAGCCTAACTTGAGGAATTCATTCAGATTCCCAACTTCTCATAAAACTAAACTTTCAGGTACCCAAGAGGAAGCAGCCGAAGCCTATGATATCGCTGCAATCAAGTTTCGTGGGGTGAATGCTGTCACCAATTTCGATATATCAAGATACGACGTGGAAAGGATCGTAGCAAGTAATACTCTTCTTGCCGGAGAACTTGCGAGGCGTAACAAGGTGATTGAATCCAAAAATGAGGCTGTTGATCACCAAGCTTGCGTCCAGAATAGCAACGGCGAAGCAGGTCTATCAGAGGCGGAAAGTGGGAGTGGATCGGAGTGGAAGATGGTCCTCTATCAGGGCTCACCCCAGCAACCAACGGCATGCGTTGAGCCTATTGATCAAAAACCCATGAACATTGGAAATTACAGGAACCCATCATTCTCCTCAGCCACCCTGCATGATCTAATTGGGATCGAGACGGGGAACACACCCCAAGGAGTGGATGACTCGGCCAAGCTGGGGACCCACTTGTCAAATGCGTCCTCCTTGGTGACTACCTTGAGCAGTTCGAGAGAAGGCAGTCCTGATAAGACTGGCCTCGCTGTGCTCTTTGCAAAGCCACCCTCAGCCTCTTCCAAGTTCATCAATGCAACTCCTGTGAACTCATGGATCCCATCAGCTCAGCTGAGGCCCGCCATCGGCATGTCTCATATGCCAGTATTTGCTGCTTGGACTGATACCTGAGAGCCTCTGTTTGTTTGGTTAACTCGTAAAAGTCGTTGCATGGGGGNGGGGGGAGAGAGAGAGAGAGAGAGAAAGAGAAAAAAAAAAAAGAAAGGAGAAAGTCAAAAAAAGAAAAGAAATTTATTGGTGTTGATTGGGTGGAGAAAGGAGAAATTGCTCTGTGAAAGGCTGAAGCGAGAAGGATGAAAGCGGGGAAGGTTGGACCAGTTTTGAATTCTGTAACCAAAGCTTAAAATATTTCAAACTGGCTTTTTGGGTCATAACATCGAGCGAAAGATTGGCAAAATGGGTGGGAAGGAGAGATGATTGAAGCTAGCAAATAGCAATGATTAAAATTCCTACGGAATGATATTGGAGTGAGTGGTGTGACCAATCTAACATTTTCAGCTTTACGATCTTTTGGTCCTTCTAATATTTCTAAGTACAAAACCAGCTCGATGTTTCCCAATAATACAAATTGGGTATTGGCTCTGACCAGACTGTCTCAGTGTCCTCAAATCATCACCATGCAATCCTCACTCTCTCGATATACCGACATCATTACCGTTTCTCTTTTTTTAATTCTATATCTAAGCTTTCGTCAAACGTAGCAGACATTCATTCCATTCCATTATTCAAAAAAGGTCGTTTTAAGATAGATTCCCACGGGCCACAGGACTTCTTTTGGAGGCTTTGTTGAACGTTTTATGGACACAACAAATTCGACTTAGCTACGGTTCCACCCTGCTAGGCATTCCCACAAGCACATAAGTTATGTTTGATTTGATTTGATTTGATAGAAAATAAGAGAAACAGAAAGTAGAGGGCTAAGCAAATTCTCGACAACTTTCACGAAATTCCTTAACAAATGATAACTTTTCTGTTTCTCAAATTTTCTATCAAACCAAACACAGTTGATGGTAAAACCGTTTTCCAATAGGAGTAAAGAAATTAAGGTCGAAGGAGGAAATATAACTTTGACTAGACAAGGATGTAATTAGGTCTTACTTACTTGGGCAAGTATATTTTTTCCTGACAAGTGCTTTTCAGGTAATTAAGCAAGTTTTTTGTGTTTTTATACGCTACCACTTATTCAAGTAAAGAGAGATGAGACTTGAAAGGGAGGGTGCTTGTTGATTTCAACAAGTGGGCGGGTACATATTGTTTATCACCTATTCACCTCAGGGTTCAGGTCACTGGTACTCTCATCTATTTTAGCGCTAAATGAACAAGGGTATTATGGTCAATTTACTGCTTGATCGACTAACCCTACCTGCAAATGAACGGGGTCTAACTGTCTAAGATACAGAAATTAAAGAGGAAGAGTAGCTGCTAGCTATAAGATGAAAATAAAAAAGCGGTTGCAATTCTAGTGGAAAAGATTGAAAAGTGCAAATGATTTGGCTGTAGAACAGAGGTCCTACAATTAAAATAACAATGGTGACAGAATGGTTCACACTCATGATGAGGGAATACCGTCCACTAGTCGATTCTCATTTCTCAAGCATGCTTATGATAATTAGGCTGTTTGGTTGCAGTGCAAATAAATTTACACTGATGCAAAATTATGACGGTGAATTTTGACCTATGTTTGTTTCAAATTTTAGTTTATCTGACTTGATTATAGTACAAATGAAGTGAATTAAGACATAAAACAAAATAAAGTAAAACCCAAAATAAAATTAAATCATAATTAACGTTTTTTTCATTTGTACTTACATGCATTTGTACCAATGCGAATAAAATTGCACTAGTACAAATTAACTTGTCTTTTTTGGATGCCTTTTCTAGCAAATTAACTCGTCTTTTTTTTTTTTTTGAAAGAAGATGAGCAAAATTCTTCTTAGTTGCATTCAAGCCCTTATTAAAGTATATGGTTGCGTGCTTCATTTTCTCCGGGGGGTTTTCTTTTTTTTGGATTTTGAGAGGGGGGAAAGTTGGTCAATGGGATTTTGGTTCCCATTGACCAAGAAGCCCATGTTCTTTTTCCAGATTTGCGTGGGAACTAGAGAAAATTTATTTTCTTGATCATCTCCTAGGTGAAAGTTACCCACACTTGAATGAGACAAAAATGTCTCTTTTAATAATAGATTTTATGGATAAAATTGTATATTTACATAAGAAATAAAGGAACATGGATAAATGCACTTACCCGGGTAGGTGCATTATTAAAAAGGGACCTTAGAGTCTTACAAGATGTTTTAATGTTATTTTTTGAGCCGGTGATATCCAAGCCACATGTATATTCTATGTCCCTACCCCCTCATAGTTTTTTACGGACACATTAGTAAAATTAATGGTGGCTACCACTCCACTAGGAATAAATTTCAAAGTTTAAAAAGAAAATTCTTAGTTGTTGGAGTTGGAAGCAATGTTTTTTAACCTATCATTGACCTGGCCAATTGAGCCATTTGAACTATCATTCAACCATGATTTCGGGTCTGGTTTTATTAAAACCCAGGAATTGGTCAAAAACCATTGATCTTGTCAAAACCCATTCAACCCGAGTGGTTGGATAGTTGGTGTATTTGACCCAATAACCACGTCATAGGTTGCACATTAAATGCTATGCAAATTTCCGAATGCCATAACTTTGTGCTCTGATGTCCAATTGGAGTGATTTTTTTTTGTTTTTTATTTTGGATAACTTTTTGAGATCTATACATCCAAAGGCACCTTGACCCACTAGTTTCACCAAAAAACCGTTTTTGAGCCTCAAATGAATTAAAAATTAAATTAATCTAAAATAATGCATATGTTACATGTAGAATTCTTAATTAAATGTAGGTCAACCATAGATTCCTTGAAACCCCGAGACAAGTTCATCTCTTATCTATGGCGAATCCATTTGCCTACAATTACCACTCATTTGTTAAAGAATGCTAATTTCTTTCCAACATATACTAAAACTAGTAAATTTTAGGAAACAATTGTTTTTTATTAAGTTTTTACCAAAACAAAAATAGAATAGATTCTTTATTCACTTGCTCTTCCTATTCATTAGTTGGTGGGAAGATTTTATTGGCTTGCTAGAAGTAAATTTCTATAAATAATAGTAAGGCTATCGATATTGTATGGAGTAGGGTGTTGAGTGTTGAGTGGTGAAAAAATGTCCAAAAAATAATTGTGGTAGAATTGTGAATGTTTAGATGAATGAATAGTATAATTAGGTAGGTCAGGGTTAGAAATGATGTCATACTTAGAAGCCTATCTCAATAGTTCGAATAGATGATGATGTAACCGTTTTTGGTCACGTACCATTTTTTGTGATGTATAAATTTTTTTTTGGCTAAGTACCTCGTTATTTGACCCGGTGGTGACGTGCCTTGGTGATGAGCTACTTGGTGGCGAACTCCCTCGTGGAGAACTGCCTGGTGGCGAGCTCCCTGGTGGCGAACTGCTTGGTGGTGAGCTCCCTGGTGGCGAGCTGCCTAGTGGCAAACTGCCTGGAGGCGAGCTCCCTGGTGGCGAACTACCTGGTGGCGAACTCCCTGGTGGAGAACTGCCTGGTGGCGAGCTCCCTGGTGGCGAACTACTTGGTGGTGAGCTCCCTGGTGGCGAGCTGCCTGGTGGCGAACTGCCTGGTGGCGAACTGCCTGGTGGCGAGCTGCCTGGTGGCGAATTGCCTGGTGGCGAACTGCCTGGTGGCGAGCTGCCTGGTGGTGAACTGCCTGGTGGCGAGCTCCCTGGTGGACTTATCATTTGACCTGCTCGTAGGCGGTCTGCAACTCAGAGGATGGTGGAGCTCCTTGGTTCAACGCAACCCGACTATCCTCTACATGAGGTGATTTCCTCTCCTTTGTAGGCGGCGGGAGCTGAGGGACTTGCGAGAACTGAATCAGAGGACCCGGGGGTATTTTCCCGGCAGGGACTCTCCGATGCCTAAGTTAGCATTCTGATTACAAAGAGCTTGGAGTGAAATGAGAGCTTGGAGAGAAATGAGAGAGCTAGAGGGCAGGGGTTATCATCCCTTTTTCCCTCTTTCCCCCCTTTGGGGGGGTGAGGTCTTTATATACCGGAGTCCTCGCGGGTTAGGTGGGTGAAAAGCCTCCAAACGGTAAGACTCGTCACATCCCGTCAGAATCGGGGTACGGTGGTGAACTCCTCGAGGTCGTCAGGCTGGCGCTTGTGTCAGGCGGCCAGGTYGGCGCCTGGGCCAGGTTGTCAGGGCGGCGCCTGCGTCAGTCGGCGGGTCGATGTCTGGGCCAGGTTGTCAGGTCGGCGCCTGTGTCAGTCGGCGGGTCGATGTCTGGGCCAGGTTGTCAGGTCGGCGCCTGTGTCAGTCGGCGGGTCGGTGTCTGGGCCAGGTTGTCAGGTCGCCAGGTCGGCGCCTGTGTCCAGGCCAGGTTGTCAGGTCGGCGCCTGTGTCAGTCGGCGGGTCGATGTCTGGGCCAGGTTGTCAGGTCGGCGCCTGTGTCAGTCGGCGGGTCGGTGTCTAGGCCAGGTTGTCAGGCAGGAGATCTTCCTGCGATACGCCAAACTAGTCCTGTACCAAGTTACCCTACAAGGGGCGAGCTGCCCGAGGGAGCTATGCCGAGCTGCTTGTGGCGAGCTCTGCCGAGCTACCTGGCTCCTTGGTGGCGAGCTCCTTGGAGAGCAGTCTAGCTCCTTGACGAGTTCTTTGGTGAGCTACTGAGCTCCTTGGCGAGCTCCTTGGTGAGCTACCGAGCTCGCGGGGTACGCCGCTATGGTTCATCGGTGGGCGTCTTATGGGCGGCTAGGTCGGCCAGGTCAGATCATGTGCCAGGCCGATCCAGGTTGGCCAGGTCGCGCAGGCCGCACAGGCTGCGCTAGGTCGCGCGTAGGCCGCCCGTAGCCCGCGTGCAGGTCGCGCTAGGCCGGCCAGACCGGTGCCCGGGTGGGATACCAACTTGATAAGTTGTTGCCTAGGTGTTTGCCTAGTTGTCACAAGGTGCCCCGTGTCACAATTTCACTGGAGGGCTAAATCTGCCCTCATCAGATGATAAATTGAGAAAAATTAGATCGAAATAGTATGTGTTTAGAACTGTGGGTGTTTATTCACAAAATGTTTATACTTGATTTGTTTGTAAAACCGAGAAAATCAAT